TGCAGGTGTGATAATTTGGTGACGCTACCACCGGGCCATCCGTTGCATATTGCGGACGTATATGATAGCGGCGATTATGAACGCATCGCTCGCTACGAAAATGTCCACGTCATTTATGCAATAATCCAAGCAAAGAATAACTTAATCAATATCACAGTGGGCAGTTTTGAAGCATGGTGCCATTAACTACTACAAGTCATGGTGCTGATTTCATAAGTTGACTATACTCATCAGTGAGTGCAAGTTCCTCAGTGTATCATCAACTAGGATGCGCATATGTAAAGTGGCAGTTTTTGCGTTCAACCGTATACGGCTAACGGATGTTGATGTTGTAATCAAGAAGTTTGGGACGAGCTTGAGTAGTTTGTTGCTAGCGATATAGCACTCACAAATTCGATGATGATTCCCAGTGGCCCGGATCCGACCGTGGCTCAGTTTATTTCAGTTCAGTTGGGCGTGCATAGTCCAAACCAACTTCGAAACATTTTCGATTTGTAGATGTGAACACTTGTTTACACTTGATGATCAATCACATTCTGAATCAGTTGTGCCGAAATCAATAAATACTGATTGTATGTCAGCATTTGGCATGCATTTAGGTGCTTTGCTTTGATCCGTGAACCATTACCAGACTGGCCTGGATCAAATAGTAATCCCGTCAAGGAAACCCGATGTGATGATTTAGATGCCATAAAGTTCAACGAGCTAGTGCAGTCTATGAATGATTACAAGTCTGGAACGCTTGTCGAAGGCGGATCGTTCAAATATCTGTCTGTCAATCTACGAGTGAGTATTAGATACCGTCAGACAGATCATTCAAAATGATGAAAAACAAATAATGCTTCTGGAACGTTCCAATGCATTTATATGTGACAAACGATGCCTTTTAAGGGAATGAAATGTCATTTGCCATTCAAGACACTCCTTTTCATCATCGCTAAACTAATTATTATCTAAATTTCGCATATGAGAGTCACAAATGGGACAATATCGGGTGTCTATTGATAACGGCTCAGACAGCATTTTGTAGTCCACTGAGAGAGAGTTCCTTTTCGGATCAATTCCACAAATCTCATGCATCCGCTTTTACTATTAAATTGAAATCAAAAGGCTAATTTAGAAATCATCTGACCGTATCACGTGACCCACCCTTGCAGCAACTAATCGATGAAAGAATACGGACCCCAATTTTGTTGTGCTATTATTTGAACACAAGGTCGTAAAACGTTCACATTGCCGAATCCATATCCGGATTTTTCTCCGAAGAATTCAGCCGGTTTTTTGTGTCAACACAATACAGAATAGTTCTTTCACTCATCGCAATTCTTCGATTAAAAGAAAAGGAGCAAGGTTATGTAAACAGATATATGCCCTTAGTGTACGGCAGTTGACTCGATTTCAGCAAATTTTCTTATTCAGTGCGAAGCAAACCAAGTTTTATACCAATTGAAAACTTAACAGATTGCCCGGTTATTAAGTCCATAAAATGTTGACAGACAACTGCTCTTAAAGCCAACTGTTTTGATCTAAATTTTACTGTTAAATAAATCGTTTGTTTTGCCGTCGAACTCCACTTCCGAGTGGAATTCAATTGGCCGAGATTGTCATCACATTTGAGAGTGTGTTTTTCTTTCTTTTCATTTTACCAGCTATGCTATTATCATCTCACTTACACATCCGCGGCGGAGTGCGTTGTCCCGAGTGAGCATCATCGGGGAGTTTCTAACGTAACGAATTTGCAAAAGTCACGCGATCGAGTTGAGGACAAAACTGAAGGTCTCATTGAATCGCGTTTGTGGAGCACATCATCCTTATCCTCATCAATGCAAGACATTCGGTGAATGTGTAAAAGTTATTTCGGGCGACTCAGCACATCGGTTGTATTCAATACTGAACCGCACGTTAGCCAAACGAAAGACGCTCGTTGTTGTAATCTATCAAAAGTGCGGGAATCGTGTCACGTGAGTTTATCAAGCAGCAACCAAATAATAATAAAAATAATTCGTTTGTTCAAATGGTTTTTTTATTACACACGCACACACTCTATGGGCAGTAGTAGAGGGATGAACTGCAAACCCACGAGGATTTCCAGTTAACTGATGTAAATCGGCAACATTAACTAGTGCTACGCATTGGAATTCGTCAACACTCGAAACCTAAACGGGTTGGACGTGTTAACGAGCATCCCTATACCACGAATGTGGTGGTATTTGAACCTTATGCCTCAGAAATCAGGCAGGCCGCTCCGTGTAGTGTGTGACGATCCTAAACAAAGCCATATAAGGACCAATCAACGCGAACAAAACGGATCGAATTGGATCATTACCAAACGGGACAAAAGATCATCACAAATTTGGCCATTTCTGTGGAAGAATTACACACACCCCATTCAATGATTCGCTTGATCAGAGGAACGCTTTATTGGAATGCTCTGTGTAACTACCTAGCTATTTAACTGTGTGCATGTATGTATTTATGTACATACGTATGTGTTTATGTATGTGTTTATGTGTGTATGTATGTGTTTATGTGTGTATGTATGTATGTATGTATGTATGTATGTATGTATGTATGTATGTATGTATGTATGTATGTATGTATGTATGTATGTATGTATGTATGTATGTATGTATGTATGTATGTATGTACGTATTTATGTATGTATGTATGTATGTATGCATGCATGCATGTATATATATTCATTTTGGTCATTGTCTTACTCTGATAGTGCACTATTTTTGAGTGAGTAATCTGGAATTGGAATAGACTTAAGTGTATCATCCTGAACTCCAGCGATTACACCACCGCAATGCAACTGGTCCATGTTGATTGAGGTCAAGATTTTGTTGTGCCACAACAAAATACGGACTCAGTATTGCAAAAGCGGTCCAAATGTGCTCATAGATAAGCTAGGGAAGCTGTAAGAAAATTTCGATAAGAAACGAACTTCTGTGGGAATGAATCTGTGCTGATACTGGAATCGCCTAAATACTATTCATGAATTGACGATTTTTAGTATACTCTTTTGATTTTGAAACTCTCCATTGAGTTATTGATACTACTCCTCACACACAAAACTATTATCTAGGATTTACAGTACCGGAGTGTGGTCGAAGTTGACAACTTTATCAGATTGAAGATTGTGCATTTCCGGAACTTTTTAGTGACGCATATGGGAAGTATGGAATTGTTGATATGTAGATTTCTGCGGGGCTACATGGGACAGGATTTTGCAAGAAACAGATACCAATCACGTTCCGAAATGCTACGAGAGTCATCTGAAATCGGCAATTGACCTTCACTGGAAATTTATTTGGACAGCAATAGTTTACTACGGTATGGCACCGTTTTCTGATACGAAAAACAAAGTGTTCTGGTTTCAAGATTGATGTTTCACGACTACAAAACTGTTCAAAAAATGAATAAAGGAGTACGCACACCGCTTGGTGTGTGTGTTGTGTGTGTGTTTGGACCAGGGCCGGGGCCGGGGCGTAGCCATCACCGATGCAGGATGCACCGAGTTGAAGAAGCACACCTGCGTGCAGTTTGTTTGTAATCTTCAATTTTTTTCGCATCGAGTGACCCAATGAGCATAATCAGTCATGGGGAAAAGGGAGAAACCATCGAACCAAAAATGCCATAAGCTACCAAGAAATGAGTCGGTTAGATGAAATTCATGCATGCACACCACTCCTGGAGTGGTGTGCTAGCGACTACCCCACAATGTTTAAAACCAACTGAATGTTCACATTGTAAGTTAAATGCATTTTCTCCAATAAAAGTAACGTTATTATTACCAATAGTATTAGTGTTGTTATTTTTGTCAATAATATCCCATCGCAATCTTGCTTTTTCAATTCCGGGTTCATGTTTACTGCTTCCCCTTGGGAAATTATTTTTAAACAACTGGGTCATCCAGCTGACTATGGTGTTGAACGATTCAGACAGCCTCTGTAAACTGGACTGACTAAGAGAGATGAGTAGTCGAAAAACGAACTGCTTTCAACCACTTTGTCAAGTTCACTTGATGAAAAAAACAAGCAACATGGAACTTTTAGAGGATCTCTTCATCGAAAGTACACACATAAACGGGTCAGTATCTGCACTTCACCAACCACATTCACAAATCGGGAAGTATTGAGAACATTTTGTATGATCCGGCGAAGATGGCAGGCTGGCATGCACACAAACTGGATACAATGTGGAATGATTGTAGCTCCTGATACGGATGTTGGTGTGTTGGTCTGTGTTATGCGAAAGTGTTGTTCACAGACATTTCGTGAGCCAGGCCAGGTGGACAACATGATCGGTCCACTGCCTGACTACGAAACGTCTCTGCGAACAACACTTCCAGCTGTCGGAGAATACACTAACAGAGTGGATATACCATGGAGGTCACTAGGTTTTGCTCAAGAATACGGCCGGACGTTCGTAAGTAGAGTAGCAAACATGCGTACCAAAGCGCAAGGTTGTTTGAAAGTTTTCGGTAAAGAGCGATGAGGCGCGAAGTTGGATATAGTATCACCCAATCTCACAGTCCAACTAGTTTTTGTCTACATCTGCGATGGAATGCCATCTCCCGTAATCAAGCAACCCTTGTATGCCACTCCTAGTTAGGCATCTAATCGAGTTGACTGATCAGGTAAACAGGAGCCGAACACACTCCCGTGTGGATCGACAACCTGGTGACCGGATCACACTCGGATGGCCCAAGTCAAAATTCACCCAAACGTCGCATACGGGCATCATCATCACCATCAGGGTCGGCTGTTCCTAAACGACGGACAGTATGTGAACCGGACCAAAATGCGCTCATCACACACATAGTTGTCCACTGAACCCTGTATGCAGAGATGAGCTTACTGTCAAGCGATGCAAATTAGAGCAATGCAATTACAGTGGGAGTTGTTTGGAACTTTCACTCTGCTCGGACAGAATTGTGAGCTAAGGAAACACTACCAACGCCCCAACGGTAACTGTGCAACATTGTGCTACTGTTCTCTGTCTGAACATGGTGGACAGATTTAAACAACAGCACTAAAAATATTGCTTATTTTCAGACTACCACACACCCTATCATAGTCCGTACATTTTACGGAAACGTAATGAAAATTTCTGAAAAGCTGTCATGGTTTTCACTCTGATGAGAAGTTTATTCTGTTGCCCATTATGTCCCAGCTACACACATGGGTGCATAACCCCGTAGTATTGCATTGTTTTGAATTGTATTTTATTGTGCTGAAGCTTTAGTGAGTTACGTACAGGTTTTCAGCCAAAAGCGATCACCGTCACACTGCTGGCAAAAAAGGGGATAAAAGTGAGGCATCTGGCGTGCAGTGTTCATTTAACTACCAAATGCATTAGAAGCGCAGAAAGAACACTCTCCTTGTTGGTCAGTATCCGGGTATATTGGACACCAAACAGTTTCTGTCGGCAGATATCTGAGATGGGATAAGCTGGTATTTGAAACGGGTGGAGGGATGGGACTTGTATGCACACAGTTCCATGTCTAAAGGTTGGGTGCTATCAGAGAGAATTTTGTCATCAAACTTCAAGCACAGATATTTCCAATCAGAACAGATAAAGGAACTTGGTAAATATTGCTACTCATACAGAGGTTATGCCTCAGCAGTTTGAAATCAGCCTTCAGCAAACCAGGGAAAATCACAGAGAAGCAATGAAGGGGTATAGGGAGAACGCATTGTTGAACAAAAGCTCATATCACTGACAAATCAGAATTAAAGTGATGCAATATTCCTATATGAAAAGAGAGATCTTTCATCTTGCGAGCAACAGTTTGGGTATGTAAAGAACAGCAAAGGTTAATTTCAAGTGCGACAGCTAAGTATTTCACATGGCTGGCTGGCTGACTGGCTGGCTGGCTGGTGGTGATCAAAAAGTACATTTATTTCCAGTAACCACACATGTAGCCTATTAATGGACCAGTGAGCAGGCTCGGATGTGAACACGCAAACGGAGAGGCATTAATGCCTACGGTAAGTGAATGTGATAGGATATCAGAAAATGCGGTAAAGCACGACAATTAAAGAGTCAACGAATCAGTCAGTGCGGGTAGTTCAATACTAACAGATGATTGGCTGGGGCCGATCGATATTATAATGAAGTAATGTTACCTACCGTGCATACGTTCGTGCATGTGCGGTAGCAAACAGCATCAGCCAATCAATCAATCAACCAACTAATCAGTTAGGTCACAGGTTAGCACGGTAAACGTATCTGTGAGCTCTAGGCCACAACTACTAACAAATTATTGTTTTTTATTGTGGATGCATGCGTATTGCTCTTACTGGTTTTACTGCTCTCCAGTTAAGTTTCGCGGTCAGAGAGTTCAAAAAGGTTTGGCGAAAAGTTCAAAAGCACTTTATGGCTGTTTCAATCTAATTAATCTCTTCAATATATTATTGTGCCCCATTTAAATAGTAACTGAAGTCTGATTTATTCCGCCATGGTTTTGTCCGCTTCTGTACATTTTCTGTAAATCTAACTAACGTTTTTAGCGCACATAGCAATAGCTTTGACTTGAAACGCTGAAAAGCTACTTACAGTGCATTCAGTCTGCGGCTCGAACCGAAGGATATCAAAAACAGAGCCCAGGCCTAGGAACGAGATGCCACCGGCCAGGTCATTTCACACTATTATCACACAATATAGGCTATGAGCGGGGAACCCCAGTCAACTCAGCAACCGTGTCTCCCCAATGCAATATCGGTCAATTTCCGTATCTGAACATATGATGGCAGGGGATGAGTCACTACATCGTATATACAGGGTATGATACTGTATACCGGGAAACCGAGAACTATGATAGCCTTTTTCAATT